TTTGCAGTGTAATTATATTGTCTTCAACGTTCCAGCGGATAGATTCAAGCTACAAACCTATCAAGGTGGTTTGGGCATCTGACTGGGATGCCTTCTGAGTTAGGGGTTCCAGGCATGTCATACTGGGAAGAGGCCTCAGGGTATACCCAGGACATGCTGGAGAGATTATATCTCTTCACTGACATGCTAATGTGAGTTCCGCTGGCTAAGTGGAAGAAAATAGATGGATGGATCTTGTTCGGTCATAAAGTCCAACTTTTTATTTCTTTTGTTCTGCTAACAGCCAGTGTGCATTATACAGCCCGGAATTCTTAGACATTACCTTCCCTTTCCAAACCAGTTGCCGATACAGGTCACTACACTAGGCCAACCAGTGGTCTGAACCAAGCCATTGGCCACCTGCAAAATGACAAGAAGGTGAATCACTGTGCAGAACAGTTTGTTGTTATGCATTCCTTACAGGGTCACATGTGCACTTCCTCTGTATAAACATACACAATGGCACGTTTATTGCTACATAAACCTGTCATTGTGCATTTTCGTGTGCATATCCACTTACACTCCTATGTGTGCTGGAGAGTCCTTGTAAAAGTAGGAGTCGTAGTAATGTCTCTGAGCCAAGTCAGTGTCATGTGAGGTTGTACCTCACCGTCCAGCAGCTCAGTAATGCTGCTGACAGTGAGGTCCACATCTGGGATGAGATGCCCAGGATATCACCCACTGCTTCATTAGGAGCAGGCCTTGATGTGGACTAGCCTGCCACATTATTTTTACACTTTTTTCACTTTCATTGTTCCTTTAAATTTATCCCTCTGTAGGTTTATAATTGTCATTTTCATCAAACGAAGTCTTTTAATTCCTATTCATACCCAGTCTATATCAGTACAGACATATCTGATGTTCTTTTTCTTTACTATTGAGCTCTGATGTGTGTTAACTAGAGATGGCACGATACCACTTTTTTATGTCCGATACCGATACCGATATCATAAATTTGGATATCTGCCGATACCGATATGAATCCGATATAGTGTTTTTTAACCAACAAAACTGTTTTTTAAAATATCTTGCTGCATTTTGTGTAAGTTCATACTCAAGTTTAAAACAACAACTACACTAAAGCTATTCTGTTATACCTGTATGCAAAAAAAAATGTTTCATAGTTCAGCAATACTGATCAATCTAATAAACTTAAACCTACACCATCCTCCCTATTCTGGTATTTTAAAGAGTACTTAGCGTAAATATTAAGCAACCTAACTAATAGGGTTCCAACTCCCAGCAACAACAAAAATAAATAAATAAAAAATAAGGAACCATCCCTCACGCTCCACCTCATGATGCTTAATCGACGTAATCAACCTTAATTTGATGCAGTGTGAAAAAAAATGCACAGAAATCAATTATTTTTCAAGAAATATTAAATAGATTCAACATCTTTCTTCAACAAAATTGCAGACTGCACAGATGGTACCTTCCCAAAGGAAAAAGTACTATAGCTTACTAGGGTATATATTAGACTTAATAGTCACTATATACAGTAATTGACTTCTATTCATTTTACATCAGATTAAAACTTTGGGTGTCAGATAATTATTTATTAAAAGCTAGACATTTTAAATGAGAATAAGAAAGAAAAGTATGTCTTTGTGCCCCCTTTTCCCTGTTAATGCCCTATCGGCCCCCCTGGCTAAACTTTGCTAGATCCGCCCCTGCACAGTTACCAGCCGTCAGCTACGTAGAAAAAGATCCTGGTGTAGAAAGTAATATTAAATAAATTCTAACAACAGCTTATCAAGCTTAAACGTGCTGCTGTTGTTCAGCTGCTGGTTTCCTCTTTCTGGTGCAAAGTGGGCCAAAAACAAACAACAGAGACGGACTCGCCACAGAAAAGCCGATCAGCTGATCATTGATCAGTTTCATGATTGAAGTAGCAGCAAGAAGAGGCAGTCGCTCCATATATCGCTTGTTAAGCTTAACGCAGGAATGCTTTACAAACATTCAGAGATGGACTTACACACTTGCTTTACTTCTCTCGGGATAACTTTGTCGGAGATGAAATGCCGGGTTGCTAGCGAAGCTCCAAATGCTATCCAGACCACCGACAGGTCCCGCATGCCACAGCCGCTCTATCACGTGATGCATACTGCTCCGACGTGCTAACGTTCTGAGGTGAGTTACGGCGTGTTGCAAGTTTTGTGAGGTGCTTTCGTGATATTTAATGGATCGGATTACATTTTTTATTTTTCTCCGATATCCGATCCAGTAATTTAGGTCAGTATCGGACCGATACCGATACGTAATATCGGATCGGTCCATCTCTAGTGTTAACGTGTTACTTTAATTTTTTGAGCGGTGTAAATGAACATATCATCCTATAAAATGATCATCCTGCACCTCACCTGGACAAATATATAGAAGCTCAGGTTGTGGATGTTGTAGATGTAGCCAAGCCCGAATAGGCAAGTGAACACACCGCTGGCCAGCATGCCCACTGTGAGGTACAGACGAATGGGCAGGCGCTCCCCGATAATGCCGCTAGATGGATGCACAGTGATGACATCATATTAACCATCACACATTTCAGCACATAAAGTAGTTTAAATATTTGAGAGTTACTGAGAGAAAAAAAAGTTCTGATGTGGTTTCTGGGGTTGGATAAAGAGGATAAATACACTGAATAATTATCATTTTATTCTGGCAACTTGCTAAATTAGTGGTCATAACACACTCACTCACTCCAGCGGTATATGTCAAGGTGCGGAAGGACAGACTGGGAATCGTTAGATCGATGGAAAAATGGAAAACATGCTGGACTTCAGTGAAACCACAGCACATATAATGATGGAGGAATATGTAGGAATTATTGACACAAACAGACCAGAGAATTTTTAATAATCCAACTAATAACGGCGGGTGGCAGATGGTTAGTATTGCTGCCTCATAGCAAGAAGGTGCCTTATTCAAATCCACTGGCCAGCTGCGGCCTTCTCTCTTCATCACCAGTTCACATTTACTGTGTAAAATCATTTCCTCCTCCACACCTTGCCATCTTACCTCAAGTACATTCCAATTGCGTAAGCACACAGAAAGGAGTAGTCCATGGCTCCCAGCAGCTGTTTGTAATTGCTTTTATCTGTAAATATGGGGAACAGGTGTTTAATTCAGGACAGCACAGCAGGTTTTGTTTATCTGCAAGTTTTTACTAATTGCTCGACACATTCATCTATGTTTTGCATGCATGAGTATTAAGAAACCTGCTGCTGCTGATGCTTTAGTGTAAACTTGTAACATTATAAACATTCTAAAAAGATGAAAACATCTCAAGATAAGACAGACCAAAAGGTTTCCAGCCGCAGTCGACATCTGTGTGGAGAGATAGCAGGGAGGGCTGCTGGCTGCTGCTGGATGCAATGATGGCTGCTTCACTGACAGCTGAGCAGTTCTTATGAAGCTCACTCTGTAAGCACAAAACCATTAAGCCACACAGAAAACACAGGAAGAAGAAACAGGGGTCTTTACTGTGATTGGGTAACTGTTTAAGAGGTGAGAATTTTAAAAAACAAAAATGTTAATGAATATCTCAAATCAAGGATCTAACAGTTTCAAGATTCAAAATAAAAAAGTAGCAGCTGAGAGTTTTTCAGTTCTTCTAGACTCAGTCTGCCAGTTAAAGGTCTCCAGTTTACTGAGGTTCTTGGACACACGGAGCCACACACTGCTCTTTTGAGGTGCGTTTAGCGTCACTTTCCTGATGTGGAAACCATCCTGCTCACTTCTCTGGCAGTTTGATTGTTTAATTGAATATAGTCTTCCCTGTTCCACTGGCATGGTCTTTCCTGCCCTTCACTAAGGCTACGTTCACACTGCAGGCGAAAGCACATCAAATCCGATTTTTTTGACCCTATGCGACCCATCTATCCGATCATGGTCTGACAGTGTGAACGGCACAAATCCGATATTTTCAAATCCGACCTGGGTCACTTTCGTATGTGGTCCTGAATCCGATACATATCTGATGTTTTAGAAAGCGACTGCTGTTTGATGGTCATGTCGCATTAAATCTTTTACGTCACTGACAGAAGACAGACGCTAATTATTAGCGCTGGAGAAGACATCGCAAACGCTTCCTGGCCATCCAGTGTAGATGTCAGTGAAACTGTTGGGAAGACAACGTGAACATTTTCTTTGTACTGTATAATCTGCAGATTCTGACAGAAATCTGCAGCTATCCTTTGAAGCAGCGCTCCTCTAAAACAGCAATAAGGATCATTATTAGGTTATTTACATTATTATGTAAATAACAAAATAACTTAAAGCAAAAATTGCGAAACGTAAAGTCTGAAGTCTTTACATTAACGGCCATCAGTCAAACAATACTGTTGTTCTGGGTCTAAACAGAGCGCGTTGTGTGTGACGTCTTCTTTTGCGCATGCGGCCGCTTTGAGCGTTCACACTAGAGCGCGTTTGCTGTCGCATTTTATTTGTAGTGTGAACGAGCAGACAAAAAAATCGGATTTGATCAAAAAATCGGAATTGAGCATTAAGACCTGCAGAGTGAACGCAGCCTTAAAGATCTGAAAGATCTTTCTTCTCATGAAGCCTTTTCTCCCTGACTCCATGATGGTCGCAGTAGAGAAAGAAATATTTATGCATTACCATAGCGACCAGAGAGCATTAAGGGGCAGAGAGGAGGATGTTACTCTCAATGTTGTTGGTGCATTTCAGGAGGACGCTGCTAATAAAGTTATTACACAGTGAATTCACGTTTATTATTATATTTACAGAATACCACCGTTTTTGTCTCGGTAGTATAATTTTATCTTGTTGTATTTATCTGCAACACCTTAAAGGCCGGTCCGTGACTATATTGTCTGACATTAAACCGGTCGGTGATGCCAAGAAGGTTGGGGACCGCTGCTGTAGAGCACACCACTCAGCATCTACTCAGTCTTTGTCCCACCTCTGTTGATTTTCTGCATTGAGTTCTTTCATAAATTTGTCCCGGGTCCAGACTGCATCCATTCCAGGTCAGTGTTCTTTCTTACTGGGATTACAAAGCAAGCTCCTTTGCTACCTCTTTTAGCTTTCTCCTGTTCTTTTCTTTGGGGGAGATTTGGACAGAGCCCAAGGCTGCGGGTGTTTATTAGGACAATGTACACCAGCTGGTCGTAACCAGCGAAGGCTGTAAACAAGCTGTGATGGAGCACAGACTGGAATGATGAGTTTATTTTGGCCGCGTGTGTATATGTATACGGAGGTCTTGACATATAAATAATTGCTACAAACATCTGAGATTTGCTATTTTTTCAAAGTATTCTTTTAATCTTTTGGAGCAGTGTACAAACATCGCACAACAGTGCAGCACCTATTAGTACAATCATTAATGCCATGTACTGTTTCTGGAATACCATATCTTACCTTGACAATACTAATTGGTTTCCTGGACAGGTGGAAACTGGTGTAGAGCAAGAAGGTTAGGATGAAGGTGAGAGCTCTGTACCTGAAGAGAGAGCACACAGGAAGGCAGCTCTGAGAAATGAGGGAGCTCATAACATGGAGATCACAGGTTTTGATCACAGGTTTGAGATGTCCATAATTATGAGTCATCTGCACTACCACAGATACAGTGGGCTACAAAAAAGATGTAACTGACACCAAACTCACAACTTTGAATTCCCCCAGGGAAATTATACTTAACAAAAGGATGTTGGGGCTGTGTTCATGTAGCACAGCCCCCTGCTGTGAGAGTAACAGTGTCACAGTGCTTTATTTTGTGCTTAAATGCTTTCTAGCTGTTACCAACAAACTCACACCTTGATGGGGAAATGTAGAGTTCAGTATCTGGCCTATGTGGTCTGGAGGAGCAGAGTATCAAACCTTTCTTCAGACTGTTGGGGATGAGGGTGGAGAGGTGCAGGTAACTTGGCCATTTCTCTTCTTTGTTTAATAATAGACTGTTTGAAGAACAGGGGTACAGTGCGCTTAGAGATGGACAGGCTGAAAAACACCATGTATACAGTAGCTGGCTGGTTGGAGTGAATTTAAAAAATAGACTTAATAAGTGAGCACATTTACAATACAATAAAGAACACGTAATTGTTATAACTTATTATTATTATTATATTAGCTGTTGGATGATATTTGTCAGCTTATGTTAAGTAATCATGGAAACGGTAAATCAGGCATCACTGTGTGCAGTGTGCTTACATTTGTGGTGGAGGAGAGTGAAAGTGCTACTCTAATGGTTATACATGAATCTATTCGCCCAGTCTGGTGACTGGTGACTGTCATTGGTGGCAGTAACAGTATCAGTCATCTAGCATTAGCCTATGGAGTCGACCGCCCAGCCCAAGTTTAAACATTGTTGCAGTTGTTGTAATTTTAGATGTTATTTTACAAAGAAAGTCCACATCTCAAACTGTAAAATGCACAAAGGTTCACTGCAGACATTTTGTGGCCCTACAAGGAAATGTTGCAAACTGATTTGATGCCCCAAACCTAGCTGACCAACGCTACAACATATGTAAATAAACAGGCATAAGTACTGTGAAATATTTAGGCAGATTAAAAATCTCATTTCCAAGAGAGACCTGGCATCAACTGATTAAATGTATCATGTGTTACAATAAGCAGGAGGAGCCAACAAATTCTATTACATCCTGTAATAGAATCCTGATATCCTGTACCTGGATTATGTACTTTACTGTTTGCGTTACGTCAGTCATATTTACGCTCGTCTTTGCTCACACACGTCTGACTTGAGTGTAAGGTCATTTCTAAGCAGAGGCTGGCACAAGACAGAAAGTCAAATGCAGTCAAATAAGACGTGAGAGAAGGTGTGGCTGTGCCCAAAATCCACATTTCATTTGACCCGCAGTACAGACTATGGTTGGCTTTACCAGGCTGTGCAGCAGAAACTCAAAATGGGCCGAGAAAAAGTTAGATACACTCTTATCCAGCAGTTGGACAGCATGTGGTTAGTATGTTGCAGCAGTGCATCCTGGGTACAGCAGGATGACCAAATCCATCATCTGACAAAGCAGCTTGAAACCTGACAGATACCAAGTGCTCACAAACCACCAGGTGTGTTAGGCTGCAAATGTCTCACTAAGACATATAAGATGATAACTGTATGAAGAGAAATGTTCAAGGGTAACATAAGACATTAATGTTCTTGATATCACAGTGCGTCTGGAAAGTATCCACAGAATCAGAATCATTATTATCATTGTAGCAACAAAACACTGAACAATGTGCAATATGTGCAATTCTCTCAGTGCAAACAACCCGAGGAGTCTGCTCAGTGACAGGTTGCTTCTCCCAAAGTTTAGGACCAACAGACCTAACAGCTCCTCCAAAATGTGTGCTACATTTAAATGAGATGACTTCTATGTTTAAACCTGATTCATTCTTGAACTAACATAGTGGGCAACAATTTGTCTTTTTTTCCCTTCAAATAATAAAAGCTAGATATATGCAGTGCACAGCAGTCTGAATTACAAGTAGCTCAAGTGAATAACAACCACTTCCACCAACAGTTTCAACCTTGTAGATGAGCAGAGCAGCTGTGCTTCCTACCAGCTGCTCTGATGATTAATGACCCCTACATTTAACGCATGGAGTGTCACATTATTGCCCCTTTCTGTATCACCAGTGTTACCCTAAATTGGTAATTTATAATAGGTGGCCGGGACCAACGCACTAGCTGTTCACAGAGGAGTGCACAATTAATCTAAGTTATATAAACACACAAGTAAGTAAAAAAACAAAATCCCACTATAACTTTTCAAAGGCTTAGTGAAGACAGTGTAACTAATGAAACCTTTACAAACCCAAACACAGGGTCAAATGTCTTAAACGTGTACCTTATTACTGCATTTGTCATGCAGTAGAAAGAAAACTTCGGATGTTTCAGAAACATTAAATAAGATATGTTTCCTATGAAGTCTGTGCCCTCCTGCTTTTGCTGAAAAATTATTGAACACGTTTGTTAATAAATCAATTGTTAAATCAAAGTCAGGATAACAAAAAATGGGTTTGTTCCTGTTCATTTCAACGTAACTACTTAGATGATATTTCTGGATGCAGGCCAAAGATGAGCCCAAACAACTTAAAGCCTACTTTAAAAAAATCCTGAAAAGAAGAAAAAAAAGGAAAAGAAAAGAAAGAGATCAAAGTTACTGCTGTTCTGCTTATTCAGCATTATGGAAAGATTTTTAAAAATCTTTTCAACAAAAATATTATAAATAAATCAATCACAACCAAAAATAACAAACATTCCAACATATTTTCAGAAACCTGAAAGTCGAGTCTACACAAAGCATCAGGTATGTGAAACTAGGTGTAAGCACAGGTAAAACTACCTGCCGGGAATTTTTGCTGACGCAGCTCCAACAATGCCACTTGGCCGGCTGCAGCCTCAACGGCCAACTACTACGTCAAAGAGGCAGAAACTGACTGCTCGACCTTGTACAGTAAACTTTACAGGGTGATCAGAAAGATCGGTTTCAACGTATGCAGCGAGTAAAATAAATATTGAATATGTCACCAAATTTCTAAGTAAATATATCTCTAAAGATGCTATTGACATTAAATTATCACTAAATGTTGGTAGCAACCCATCCAATCCACACATGCAAAGAAATCCAACCATAGAAGTCCATAAATTATGTGTAATAATGTAATACTCACGCTTAGTGAAATGCATTTAATACTTCATACAAAAGCCTTTGTTGGTGATGACAGCTTCAACACACTTCCTGTGTGAGGAAACTGTCTCATGCGTTGCTATTAGTTTAATTTCAATCTCATCTGACCACACTATGTTCTCTCAGTAGTTTACAACATGCTTTTTCCTAAGCAGTGCAGTCACGTATGTGAGCTTGCATACAGCCCACCGCAAATGTGACATTACTTATTGTTTTCTTTGAAACAATCATGCCTGCTGGTTCTAGATATTTCTGGAGCTCTCCATTGGTTTTGTCCAGTATGAGATGTTTCTTGTGTGACACCTTGGTAATGAGAGCTCACCAGTTGGGACTGAACCAGTTGATATTAATTTGCACTAAGTGAGAGGTTAGTTTTGTAATTACTCATAGATTTCAGCTGGTAAAATCTTTCCAGGCCTTTTGTCACCTTTCTTTCTTTATGTGTTTCTGTACCATTTCCCTGTTCCACTTCTCATTATTACATATAATTTATGGCCATCTATGGTTTGATTTCTTTACATCTGTGGACTGGGTGGGTTGTTACCAACATCTGGTCAGAATTTAATGTCAATAGCACCTTTAGACAGCCAGTCCAATTTAAACTCACCATTGGTCCCTGTCAAAGGACACCAGCAGGCGGACCCCTGGAGGAACAGGAGCCATGTTTGAACACAGGTATGGACAATCCCACTAACAGGCAGCTAATGAGGGCTCAGCATTCAAATCTCTTCGCGCTGAAGGAAATCATGAAGTACATGCAGACATGGCCCTGCTGTCTCTGTTCATATCCATCTTCAAAAGAAACTACAGTCAGCTGATCCACAAAGCCATGGAGCTGGTTGGAAGATGTCAGCAGTCTGAAAGGATGAATAGAACAGTGAAGAAGAGATAATGCTAATAATAAATAATAATAATAATAATAATACTAATAATAATAATAATAATAATAATAATAATATTAATAATAATAATAATAAAGATATTAAGAGGGCAAGAAAAAGCCTAGTTTACAATATGACATGTTTTTACTGCACAGCTTAATTCACATGTGGTCCACAGCTTCATACTACCTCACAAACAAACTCTGAGCTGCTAACGAGTATGAAGTCTCAACTTTGCCTGGGCTAAGATGTGTGAGCCCATTCAGTCCACTGAGTTGGTCAACTTGACTTCAGGAGGACACGTGGGTCATTCCATATTAATTTACCAACTTTCACAAAAATTCCCAGTTTGACCAACTCTGATTTTCCAGAACAAAATTCAAGGGTGATGATACACTTTTTAGTAGGAAAACTGGCAAATTGTAGACCTATAAAATTATTAGTTTGATCATAAAAAATACTTTTGCGATAGGTCACAGGGCGATTTTCAAGCCTTTTCTGTGGCTGAACATTCAACGATATAATAATACTCTGTACTAGGGCTGGGCAATATTAATGGATCATTATTATATTATTATTATCATCATCCACTTCACATACTCACATAAAAGCTTCTCTAAAAACTATGAACAGACTCTGTAACAGGACACCAGGACAGCCCTGGTAGAGTAAAACACGTGTGCAAGAATGAGTATGACTTATTGCTGGCAATGCAGACCAAGCTCCTGCAATGGTTTTACAGGGATCAAATGACTCGTAGTAACAAGCCAGACACCCAGTATCCTGAGGTCAGCAACACCTCGCCCCCATCATACACTGTGCTTTACCTTCCATAGTCACTTGACAGTTTGCTAGAATAGTTTTGTGGCAGGCCGAAATTCTTTTTCCATGGCCTCCCCAAACTCCTTCCACGCCTGAGTTTTTTGCTTCAGGTGTGGAAGTGGAATTGGCCTGCCAGTATCTGTCAGCTGCTTCCTAAGTCCTACAGGCTGAGAAAAGCCAAAAGGACTCCAACTTGACTGCTCCCTTCAAAGAGATGTTAGAAATCCTTGAACTAGAGGTTTGACCTCTAGTTCAGGGTTGGTTACCACCATGATGGTCAACCACCTTGCAGCCGCCTCAGCAAAGGAGTTGCAGAACATGGTCTACAACAAGGTCTTCATGTGCCCAGCCTCCCCCCAGAATGCTGTCGAGGTTCTGCCAGAGGTGGGAGTTGAAGATTTTACAGACTTGGGGCTCTGCCAGGCGTTCCCAGCACACAGGTAAAATTCTTAAAGGAAAGGTGCCTCGAGAATGTCAGGTCCAAAAGGAGATGGCACTTAAGACTCTTAGCTTTACCAGATATGGAAGACAAGAACACGAGAAGTGGTTATTAGAATATTCACTCGCATCACACTGGGATGATTCAGGATACAGTGGATACAGTGCCTCAACTGGGCAAGAAAAACAATGCAGAGAACTGTCATCATGCATGCAGAATGTATGAGATGAAGCTGATGAAGATGCAAAGGTCTGTAAAGAATCGTCAGAGAGACGATTTCCCGAAACAGAAAGCAAAAAGTAGTCATGTCATGACATGTCAGACTACTTTTTTGAGTGATCGGAAAACCCAGAAAACCGATATTTAAATGGGAGTGCATCTTCACTTACAACAAAGCAATCAATGTATTTCACTGCCGAGATCTCGATTAGTTACTAGCCTTTCATAATCACAATCACCATAAACACTCACAAATCTCAAGTGACATCAATATCACATGATATAGTTCACAGGTTTAACAATCTTCTGACATTTTAACATCCAACTATACAGGCACAACTCTCCTAACAGCGCGGTCACCGTTTCTGCTTCCTTGAAAGAAATTAATATAGCCAGAAAGGAGAACGTGCTTCCGGTGCTTTGTATCAAACAACACGTCGGCCCCCGGCGACGCTTACTCGGACACTGATGAGAAACAGGCTAATGCACCGACTGTGAGATTTGGCGATATTTTCCCTTCCTATTTGTAGCTATATCAAAACCGCCCTGTTATCTGTAAACCATTAACAAAGGCAAAAACGAGAGCCTCCAACGTCTCGGAGTAGCCCTTTGATCCTGTGGGAGACAGCAAGGTGAATATAGCCGAGCTTCCGATTCATTGTAAAGACTGCTAGCTAAACCGCTACAACTGTGGCAGCAGCAGACATCCAACTGCAAACAAACACGCCATAGCTGCTCAGGGGCTTACCTCGGAGGGGGAAACTAGCGCTTCACGTTCGTTGCAGGTTTCCCTTCAGTGACATACCCTCCACTTCCTTGTTGTACGAAAGCAGGCGACGAACTGTCACACACTCGCGCGCGCGCGCTCACAGCTGGGCTTGCCCGGGCTGTCGTTGACGTCATCATCGCTCTCTCGCGCTCGTGTTCAGATGACCCTGTCTAGCTTGCTTCAGGGCTAAAACCAGCTCACGATAATAATAACAACAATAATAATAATCTTGTGAAAAATAATAATTCAAACTCACATGGGATATTTCATTTTGAGCTTGAGTAAACTCTACAGATGACAGCAGGACCAGAGTTAAAAATCCCTAACACAATATCTAAAACACACGCACACAATGATTAAACCTCAAAGTAGCGATGTGAAGCTGAAGCTCCAGCTCATGTGTCAAAAAAAATAGACAGCGCCCAAGTGATCAATGACGTCCGAAGATTTATTTAGCACGTCACAGCTCCAGTACCTGATTCAAAGGTTTATAAGGAAGTGAATCGTTGGCCGGATTTATGTTGTGTTTGGGTGGAGAAGGCGATCCAGTGTGCGACATAATGACATACAGCGAGGGAGGGAGGACGTTCTGCTTCTTCATAAATAAAAACAAGTTCATAGGCCATTCTAAGCCCAGGTCTAAAACCCACATAGTTATAATTATATAAGGTATAGTATATTATATACAGGGTGAAGCATTTATATGGATACACCGCAATAACATGGGAATGGTTGGTGATATTAAAGTCCTGTTTGTGGCACATTAGTATATGTGAGGGGGCAAACTCCTCAAGATGGGTGGTGACCATGGTGGCCATTTAGAAGTCGGCCATCTTGGATACAACCTTTGTTTTTTCAATAACAAGAGGGCCATGTGACACATCTAACTCATTGGTAATGTCACAAGAAAAACAATGGTGTGCTTGGTTTCAACGTAACTTTATTCTTTCATGAGTTATTTACAAGTTTCTGACCACTTATAAAATGTGTTCAATGTGCTGCCCATTGTGTTGGATTGTCAATGCAACCCTCTTCTCCCACTCTTCACACACTGATAATAACACTGCAGGAGAAATGCCAGCACAGGCATCCAGTATCCGTAGTTTCAGGTGCTGCACATCTCGTATCTTCACACCATAGACAATTGCCTTCAGATGACCCCAAAGATAAAAGTCTAAGGGGGTCAGATCGGGAGACCTTGGGGGCCATTCAACTGGCCCACGACGACCAATCCACTTTCCAGGAAACTGTTCATCTAGGAATGCTCGGACCTGGCACCCATAATGTGGTGGTGCACCATCTTGCTGGAAAAACTCAGGGAACGTGCCAGCTTCAGTGCATAAAGAGGGAAACACATCATCATGTAGCAATTTCAAATATCCAGTGGCCTTGAGGTTTCCATTGATGAAGAATGGACCCACTATCGTTGTACCCCATATACCACACCAAACCATCACTTTTGTTGTTCCAACAGTCTTGGAGGGATCCATCCAATGTGGGTTAGTGTCAGACCAATAGCGGTGGTTTTGTTTGTTAACTTCACCATTCACATAAAAGTTTGCCTCATCACTGAACAAAATCTTCTGCGTGAACTGAGGGTCCTGTTCCAATTTTTGTTTTGCCCATTCTGCAAATTCTGTGCGCCGATCTGGGTCATCCTCGTTGAGATGCTGCAGTAGCTGGAGTTTGTAAGGGTGCCATTTGTGAGTAGCTAATATCCGCCGAAGGGATGTTCGACTAATGCCACTCTCCAGTGACATGCGGCGAGTGCTACGCTGTGGGCTCTTGCTGAATGAAGCTAGGACAGCCACTGATGTTTCTTCATTAGTGACAGTTTTCTTGCGTCCACATTTTGGCAAATCCAACACTGAACCAGTTTCACGAAACTTAGCAAGCAGTTTGCTAACTGTAGCATGGGAGATGGGTGGTCTCGTAGGGTGTCTTGCATTGAAATCTGCTGCAATGACCCGGTTACTGGTTCACCAGATATCAACACAATTTCGATCCGCTCCTCACGTGTTAACCTCTTCGACATGTCAATGGCTGTGAACAAAGAGAAACTTGTAAATAACTCATGAAAGAATAAAGTTACGTTGAAACCAAGCACACCATTGTTTTTCTTGTGACATTACCAATAAGTTTGATGTGTCACATGGCCCTCTTCCTATTGAAAAAACAAAAGTTGTATCCAAGATGGCCGACTTCTAAATGGCCACCATGGTCACCACCCATCTTGAGGAGTTTGCCCCCTCACATATACTAATGTGCCACAAACAGGACTTTAATATCACCAACCATTCCCATGTTATTACGGTGTATCCATATAAATGGCCCACCCTGTATAATTGCACCTGTCCACTGGTTAAATACAATTTTCTAGATCTGCCAGTGGAGGGGCAGTTCAGGGAGGCTCTACAGCACGGGGGTATTAGTCCCAGCTACCAACCTAGTATAAGATAGTCTTGTAAAATATTATATACAATGTAATTTTTTTTTTTTTTTTTTATCTACTGATACAAAACATCAAGTCACAAGCAAAGGGGAAACACAGCATGGCACATGTTTAAACAAGGGAAGTTTATTCATTAAAACTATTTATGAATCAAATAGACAGAACATAGATTTTCACCCAAAAACATTCACAAGGCACCAAGTCCGGTATCACACAGACATGTCACGTGATATTAAACTGAAGCTGTCAGCTCGGTAGAGTGGGCAATCATGATAAAGCTGTTCATTTTGTAGACTCAAGCTGCTCTTCATTATCGGCCACTAGATGTCACCAAAAAGTGCTGTGTTGAAAAGCTTCGAGTAATAAAGCTTTTTTCCAATACAAGCTTGATTTAGCCATCAGTACTTTGTTGCAATAAGTAGATATTTCAGTACCTACATTTCAGAGGGTAAAGATAATGAAATACTATCTTAACGATTTAATTTTGTTAATTGGTTTATTCTACTCATCATTGTTGCAATCTTGAAAACAAAACAACGTTTATCTTAAAAATACTAATCATTTTGCATAATATTTGCATAACATCTTAGAGTTTACAGTTAAACTATTTCTACCTTTACTTATGTCAACATTTCAGCACATTTTAATCCTTAAATTTCATTTTTCAAGATTGTGAGCACTTCAGGTGAAAGCGTGTCCCTGCCACAAAAACAAGACGGCTCAGCTTATGGTGGGATCAACAAGTAAGTCCAGTGAGGATTCTAAAATATTTTCAAGGATTAGAAAGGAGTTCAACATTAACTGTAAAATGAGTTCACTTCTCACTGAGGATGCTCGTGTTTTTCTTAAGAAAAATTGAGGCTGATAAACCGGAAAACTATCTTCTGAGAACTTGTCTCTTTGTGCAGCAGCGCAATATCTTCAAACTCTACTAAGTACAGCAGAAAAATGGTTTAACACAACTGCGGTTAAAAGGGCAGCCAAGGTAATTAATACAAGGGTTATTCATTTATTGAATGGGTCATTCTATAAATGACTAATTTTAAAGACAAAACATTCACAAGCTTTGTGGTGTCAGCATTATTTAAGCTTTAATATGATTACAGATATGGTCAAAACCACTAACCACTCTGTTAGTGTTGAGGCATATTACACTCTGTATCCCAGAGCCTGTGTTCATCTACCCTGCAACGTCTTCATAGTAGGAGTATCAGGTGGTGCGCTGGTGAATATTGTCCCTACAAAAGCATGTGTCCCCCACAACGAGTGTCGGATCACTTTGCAGCAGCCCAGGTCCTCAATCTGAAAGCCCAGGTGACGGTATCGGTCATCTGTCTCATACAGTGTGTTGTTGGTGTACGGGCCAAAGTACTGAGAAATAAGAAGGGACACACAAATATGAGACAGTTATCTGATCAAGACCATCGCCTGAAAAGCAACAATAGTCTATCTATAGTGTGTGTGTGTGTGTGTGTGTGTGTGTGTGTGTGTGTGTGTGTGTGTGTGTGTGTGTGTGTGT